CTGGTTCAGTCCTATGCAGATTCTCCAGCTATCAGTCTGGGGTCTGTAAACTTCCACTTGCTCTGGTCAACTGTTTCTGTGGGTTTCCCTAACACGGTCTTGACCCCTTTGCTCATTACTCCTCTGTGAAGATGGAGGTTTCTGTCCCACCAGTTCCCACCACCCTTCAGCTCCAAATACACACACAGAGACATATTAATTATTAAACTGTTGGCTGATGTCTTAGGCTTCTTATTGGCTAGCTCTGTCTTAATTATTAACCCATTTCTATTAATCTGTGTATTGCCACAAGGCTGTGGCTTACCTATAATCCAGCATGTTACTCCTTTGGAAGCATGGCACCTCTCCATGGCCTCACTTTCTCCTTCTTCTCCCCAACCTTCTCCTCCTCTGGTAGCTCTGTGTATGCTTTTTGCCTGGCTATTGGCCAATCAATGTTTTAGTCATCAACCAATAAAAATATATAACTGGATTCCAGGAGTTCGGCTCAGTGTTTAGCTGTGGGTGTCTGCTTCTGCTTCCATCAGCTACTGGATGAAGGCTCTAGGATGGCATATAAGGTAGTTATCAATCTCATTATAGCAGAAGGGCAGTTAAGGTACCCTCTCCACTATTGCTTAGATTCTTCTTTAGGGTCATCCTTGTGGATTCCTGGGAATTTCTCTAGTGTCAGGTTTCATGTTAACCCCATAATGGCTCTCTTTATCAAGGTTTCTCTTTCTTTGCTCTCCCTCTCTGTCATTCCCGCAACTTGACCTTCCCAATCCCTGGTTTCCTTCCCCCTCCCCTTCCCCCTCCTATTTCTCCTTCCTCCCTCTTCCTCCCCTCATGTCCCCAATTTACTCAGGAGATCTTGCCCCTTTCCCTTTCTTGGGGGTATCCATATATGTCTCTCTTAGGGTTCTCCTTCTTTCCTAGCCTCTCTGGGGTTATAGAATGTCGGCTGGTTATCCTTTGCTGTATGTCTAATATCCATTTATGAGTGAGTACATACTATGTTTCTCTCTCTCCCCAGGTCCTGGGCAACCTGTTCCTCTTCCTGCTCCTGACTCCTTCTCCTGCCTTAGTGGTTTCTCCTCAGCACCTGCCTGTCGTTCCACCCCAGCCCTCTCCTGGGTCTGTGCCTTCACCTTAGGGAAAATTTTCTGGTCACAGGGCCTCTCTAATTCTTGGATTCTCTCCCTGCCCTAGGACTACTCTTCTCCAGGCTATCTTCCCTGGCCCCAGGATCCATCTTTGACAGGTGATCGCTCTTCACTGACAGCACAAATGCTGTCAAAGATTGCATGGCTGCATCGTGCATGCAATAGGTGGCTGCATAAGGACTCTGCATGGAGAAACCATGTGGAGTTGGGCCAATGGCATCTCCATGACTCCAGTTTCAATGGACCCAACTGCTGAGTCTCTTTCTAAACTGCTCCCTTTCCCTTTTAAGCACGTGCCTCCCATTTGTTCTCTCTCTCTTTCCATTTCTGATCCTAATTGAATAACACCTCCCCCTCCCTTTGCTGCCTTCCCCAATAAACTCCATGTGGGTTTGTTGGATTATGTCGTATCACCTGAAAGCTGGAGCAAAGAACAAAACAAACCAGGCTATTGTGCCCCTTCCTGTCCTCCTCTCCCACCTTCCCCTGGATTTGCCCACAATCCCATAGCTCCTTTAGGCCCTCATTGCTTTTCCGACCCCCATTCCCTGAGGCTTTCCTGTGGATGAGACCTTCCTCCTAGAGCTTGTTTTTGTCCTTGCTTTCTTACCTTTATAGATGCCCTGGTAGGAGACGCTCTCTCTGCTGGCTTAGCCAGGCTAGCCCCAATGAGTGTGGTGAATACCCAGTAAATGCTTGGTCCTTGTTGGGTCCTCTCTGAGTCCTGAGGACACCCACAACTGCAGGCTGCAGTGAAATTTTCCTTTTCTCTCATCCATGGGAATGGTGTCTTTCATACCCTCTCATTCCCGCTTGGGATGATGCTTAGAAAACCTCAAGCCTCAGGGGCTGGAGAGATGATTCAGTTTTGTCTACTCCCTTCTCCCTGTGACACAGTGTAACCCCCCCCCCAACACACACACTGTGTAAATGTTCTATCTTTTAAGTTACTATAGGTGGATCTGTAAGTTTGTTGCAAAACAGGAGCTAGGAGTGCGGACTAGGAGGGGGAGAAAGCAAAGGAGTAGGGCAGCTGCAACATGCACATACCCTGCACTCTTCATTGGCTGGTGCTTCTCTCAAATCCCCGGGGTGTCCTCTGCCTATAGTCAGGACTCAGAAATTACCCTTCATTGTTCTCAGTTTACTGGATTAAGTTTTACAGGGACTCAGATGTTTTATAGGTATGAGTGGCATTAGAATGAGTGGCATTGTTTTATGCTATCCCATTTGACTTAAAATATGGCTCTAGATTTAGGGTATGGTTGCCCCTCCTCTAGACCCAAGCATGTTTGTTTAAAGGTTTCTTCCAAAATCTCTGTCCCATATTAGATGACCTACCTGACTATGTGACAAAGAAAGGGAGCAGAACAAAATAAAAGGACTATTCCCAGGGGACTGTGGCTGCTTATCTCATACCCCTTTGGTTTTGGTTTAACTTTAAAATGTTTGCTAAGGTACACATTTTATCTCAAGATATATAAAATTATTGTATAAACTTTTTGTACCTCAAAAGTTATAAGCATATTGGGTCTGTTAAAAACTCTGTAAAATCTATAACAAAAAAGTTAATTTAAAACTCATAACACCAGAAATGACGGTAAAAAGTCTATACAAACTTACAGGAAACATGTGACTTGTTGCCACCTTAGCTGCTGTCCCCCAACTGGGATGGAGGTGGCCACATCTTTGTTAGTCAGAAAGGATGGATTTTACCATGTGACCTCACTCCCATCTTGATAAAAGTGACCATATGACATAAGCCATCCAAGGAAAAACAGCTCCTCCTAGCTGTGAGGCCCAAACCAGATGATTCTCACACTATCTTTGTTGACACTAACAGGCCTCAGCCTACAGTCTGGTTTCCCTTTCTTCCTTCTCAGTGACAGGCTGTCCACCCAGTCAGGATTGAGGCAGTCCTTGACCATGACCCTGAATGGAATGACAACACCCCAGGGGCATCCTTGCAAGGGATCAATTTGTAACTTGCCTCCTGGCTGGTTTTCACAAGGCCACCCTTAAAACAGTAAAATATGAAAAAATCCAAGTGGTCATCCAGGACAAACTATCTTAGTTTTTTTTTACTTATTTTCTTGCAACATAGTTGAACAGAAAAGCCAGGATGTGACAACTAGGTTTCTGAGCATATGACTATTAAAAGTGGCTTTTGGAGGAATGAACAGGGCCAATGGCACAGTCCTAGAACCTCAGATACTCAGGAGGTTGAGACAAGATCGCAAATTCAAGACCAGCCTTAGATATAGAATGAGTTACAGACCAGTCAGTTCACTTTAGTGAGACCCCGACTCAAAATAACCAGAAGGGCTGGGATGTAGCTCAGACAGTAGGGTGCTTGCCTAGCATCCCCAGTATTACATACATTGGTACAGTGATATATGACTGTAATCCTGGCATTTGGGAGGTGAACCTAGGAGTATCAGATTACATGTGACTGTGTATAAGGGACAAAGAGAGGAAGAAAAGTAGGGGGAGAGAGAAAAGCAGGGGTAGAAGCAGAGAGACACACACAGATAGTCAGACATTCAAAGAGGAGTGGGGAGGAGGAAGAGGAGGCAGCAATAGCTGCTACTGAAGAAAGGGTGAGGGAATGGTAAACCCTAGGGTTATGAGACCAGATGAAACTGTTGATGACATCTGGTGTCCATGCATCTTACTGAGCCTTCTCTCCAGTCTGTGTTGCTGGGTTATGATATGGACTAGTCATCATCCATCTGTAGCCAGCACTGAGCTTTGGTGTTAAGGTCTCTTAACATACTCAGTGGACTTTGTCCAACATTTCAAAGGCTTTCTAAAGCTTAGTACTACTCAGGGGAAAAACAAACAAACCAAACTAGAAATATCTGTGAGAGATTCTAATACCTCAGGCTAGCAGTCCTAGAGCCTGTGATCTCCTATCCACCTAGCCCCAATTTCTGGGTACTTCCTTTGTGGATCCCTTCCATAGTTCAACCCCAGCACTGAGCTTGTTGCCTGGCAAAGAGAAGGGCAGAGCAGAGCTGTTGCCCAAGGAGTCTGGCCTCATCCAAGAATTCCCTCCCAACACTTGCCCGAGTGTCCCAGCACTGCTTCATGTACAGTGTCACCCCACAGGCAGGCAGATCTGTCTGTTACACAAGGGGCACTGCAGATGGCTCCATCACCCATCTGTTGGCTGCTCTCTTGCACCCAAGATACACGGATAACTATCAATTTAACCAGCTTTCTTCTGCAACTGGGGACTTTCTCCCATGACTCTCACACACATTATCAATTATGATTGTCAATTAAGCTTTCTTGCTACCATTTGGTTTCTTCTAAACTAAGAGGAAAATAAAGCATTAACTCAAATATAACCCTGGGTTTCTGGCCAAAATGCTTCTCCCCACAGCTTACTCTTAAAAAGCATTTTATATGGACCATAAAGTACTTTCTACATAGGTAGTTGATTTTGAGACTTGGCTGAAGGACTCAGTTCTGGGTGTTTGGAAGTCTTGTTGCACCATGTGCTTGGTGGTGGTGTGCTTCTTGCCACAGAAGAGTAGCCAGTTCTCACTGTAGTGTTGTGTCCATACCATAGCAAGGCCCACAAATTTTATTGCCTTTCACTCAGTGGTTCCTGATTCTCTGGAGGACAGAACAGGATTTGGCGGTCAGTGAGTACCTGCCAAGTTTCTGTTGTACGCTGTGAGGACATGAGGCAGCCTATTTTCTGTGGGGTCTACATGTCATACTGTTGGCCCACCTGCTGCTTGGCTGAAAGCTGTTCTGAAGATGCTGTCCTCCCTGAGGCTGCCCATGTCACAGGTCTATAGTGGTCCCACTCCCCAGTGTGTTCTTCTGTACACACAGTCATGGTACATCAAAAAAAATTTTTTTATTTGAGACACAAAAATGCAAAATTGCTGAGATATCAAACATTTCCCGATCAGCTACAATACTGCCACTATGTACAAAAGATCTGATGATAAATGCACACACATATAAAAATACAGTCTGCATCGCCTATGTACAGTACATGTGCAAACCTATGGCATTCAGACACAGTACAGAATTGAGTCAGGGGTGCAAACAGCACATACAAAGGCATCATGGTTTTTCTTTTAAAAACAACATAAAGGCAACACACGAATGGACCTCTGATTGCCATGATTTTCTATTCATGAAACTAGTGCTTCAGTAAGAATGGCACTGCCCACTGGTGTTTTCCCCTTTTCTTCATAAGTGAGATGCTAAGACATTATGTGAAGATGAAGAGAAACACCTGCATGTCCATTGCAAGCAACGGAGAATTCACCTTGACATAGAAGAAAACAACTTGGCATTACTACCAAGTATGCTCTTCTTAAACCAACAAAACAGCTCCATACTATTTTACAGGAAAACAAGAAATATCTACATCTCTGTGAAATTTATAACCCTAACTGGATACCTTTTTGGGACTGACTTGAAATTACATTAGCCTCAATTTTTAAATAAAAGTGGCTGCTTTTGGCAAATACCTGGTGATGCCTTTGGTTCCTTTAAGCATTTTGCATTACTATTGGTTTCTTGAAGTCAAGTACCTTTGGTGGATACTGAACCCTTGCCTTAACCGACATCTCCCATTAGTGGGTAGGGTCTTCACAGCAGGATGTAGAGGTGACATGACTGGGACATCTTCCAGCGAATCTATCCAATTGCTAAGCTTATGTCTCTGATGACATATACTGGGCTTTCAGACAGCACCTAGTACATCTGAGATTGCCAAGCCTGTGACACCCCATTCCCCAGGGCTTGAGTGGAGGATAAAGCTTGTGAACATGTGCAGCTTCTTGTATCACATGCCTTAAATGACACAGGGAAACATCTTCTCAGGTACTGTGAGAGAGTGAGCAGCTGAAAAACGACCTGCTCACTGTCACCCAGTTTGGTAAATACCAGACAAATACAAACTAAGCCCAGAGACTGCTGAGTGAAGGTCTGAACCAGGAAACAAAATGACAATATATGAACTGCTACTTTCCAGTTTTGACAGAACTCTTTACAATGAACTGACCGTTTAGCTCTCCAAATACACCTCCAGTGAGCATGAACAGTGTTTCCTGGTAATCCTGGCCTTCCAGTTAGTATGCTGGGGTAACCTGGGGCTAACTTTCCTCTGGGGCATTGGGCCCTGTGTATTTGATAACCTCAGTGTTGTGTGGTGTGAGGGACAGAAGCAAGCATGGATGTTTGAGTTTGCCGGCCCAGACCTGGTTGCTCTGATGGTACAATACAACAGCCACTCTTAGCTTTCTATGCAGTCTTGGTGATGTCCAAGACCCCAGCCTTCTACCAGCAGCAGCTTCTGAGACTGGCCAGTGTGGGAACAGCTAAGGGTGTAGATGTGATGTGGGCTCTTCTTGCTACTTCTCTGGGCCAGGTCTGCTTGAGGACAGTAAAGGGGCTGCCCTCTAACTTAAGGGACAGCTGCCTCTTCAGATTTCATTGCTGGGAACATTGCCTGGAATAACTGGGCTCAGGTGTTTTGTGTCCACTCTGCTGACAAAGTAGACACTGCTCTTACCCGCTCCTCTGGGTGGGATGATGGTGTGTGTGGGCTGATAGTATGGCCCCGGGTCCCTGGCTTTATGTAGTGTTCAGGCCAGCAAGACACAGCATGTGGCCAGGGAACCACGGAGCTTCTGAAAGAAGGTTTTAGTAAAGTCTTAGAAAAACATTTGTGCGAAACAAACACATATTTGAGCAAGAAGTCTCATGAATTTGGAGCATCTCTGTGTGTTGACTGCACACTTGAGCAGGGTGCTTGAGTCAGCCCTGGTTTCCTAGAGAGGCCACAGCCATATCAGCTTTCTAGAAGCCGTAGAGCAATTATTTCCCAGGAGATGACTGGAAATCTGTACCTTACAAAGTCAAGTTGATACCATTGCACTTTGGGTTATGTGGAAAAGTGAGGCTGGAGTCAGATACCTCAAGCTTCTAGGAGGGATTTCCTTGGCAACATGGTATAAGCAAAAGCCTACACCACACATGTACATGCACAGTGGAAATTGAAAGGGCTCGTTGATCCATGCTTTAATGGCTGTGAAATAACTTTATATCCACTTACAGGTGGGTCTGTGTGGGGAAGTTAGAGGACAACTTGTGGGAGTCAGTTCTGTTCCATCCCATGAATTCTGGGGCTCAAGCTCAGCTCCTCAGTCCTGTTGGCAGATGCCCCACCATGGCCTGCTGAGTCATCTTGTTGGCCTGACACACACCTTTTCTGACACACTCACTGAGGGCTGGAGCTAGGTCAAGAGGCCTTTTTGCAGAGTGGTCTTTGGTCACGACACATTTATGTGAGCACATGGGAAAGATGTCCATTCTCACCCAGAGCATGTGGGGGAAGCCTAACTCTCATGTCATTGGTGTCGTAAGTACCTACTGGATGCATGAACCAGCAGAGTTAGGAGAGGAATGCTGTAACTGGAAGCCCCCTTAGTTTTTTAAGAAATGGGATCCTGATGGATTGAAGCCTGGACAGAATGGGCATATGGACAACTGAGATGGCTTCCTCTGTACTCACTTGTATTTGGAGAACAACTTTCTTGTGACAGGCTTCAAAGCAACTTAAAAAGCAATATAAAGACTTACAGCTCAGGATTACAGAAATTAAATTTTCCTACAGAAGGAAATGCACTAGCATTTAGTGATCTCCCACAAGCTTGATGATACTTGGTACTACTTTACCTGGATACTCAAAGAGGGAGAGAGGACTAAAGCTCTCTACCAAAAACTAGAGCTAAAATTCCCACAGGGAAGAGTTCCTTCCCAGGTCTACATCTGGATACAAGCAGCTGTGCAGCAGAACCAACTTGGTATGTCATGTGAGAGTGAGCTCAAAAACTTGTCAGATGGTAGTGTTCAGCTATCAGAATGGTGATGTCTCCCAACACTGAACAGTTTCTTAACAATAGGATTCCCCTTACCAGTAAGCCAAGCTTCAGGTGAGGGAGCGCTGTTCAAAGAGGGTAAAGCTGGGAACAAGTACCATTCTGACACAGAGTAGGATTAAACAAATACAGACTTGAACTAAGATCACATTGGGGCAAAACCTCCTCAGAAATGATTCAGGTTCTGTCTAGGCAATGCGTCAGGCTACTTCCTGGGCGTGCCTGTGGAACAGGCCTATGTAGGAAGCCCACATGCAGAGTTAAAGGGGTGGGAAGGGACGAGGATAAGGCTCTTAGTTAATAGAAAGCCCATACTTTGGTCAGTTATTTACAATTTGCCAGTAACTAAATGACTAGATCAAGAGTTATGGAAATCCTGTGGCAGTTGGCATTTTAGAAAATTCTTAAATTACTTGACAAACCTAACTTTTCCTTTATAGATCAAGAGAAAACAGAAATAGAAATCCAGTTTTTAGGATTAGGCTTGAGGACACACTGAGAACATGCAGGGCATCCAGTTACAAGCCTATACAATGAGAATCAAGGATCTAGTGACAGGAGACGGTCTAACCCGTGCTCATGGTGGGACTGTCTTAGAGTTTGACAGATGATCTACACCTTCCCTTCTTGTAACTCATTAGCTCAAAAAGGAATTTCATGCTGAAGCCTTTTTTGGTTTTTTGAGATGGGTGTGATCACCTGAGAGTCTGTCCACTAATCTTCAAAGATGGAGATACTGTGGCTCAGGTACTCTAGAGATAGCTGAGTTATTCCAACAAGTAGGACCAGTGGACAGCCATCTTTTTACTCTATTGCAGGCTGTAGAGGTAACAAGGTCAGCACATTCCAATGCCTAATGTCATAAGGGAACCAACTTCACCCATCTGAGGCTGCTGGGGAAGCTGCAGCACTACCAACACATCTGAACTGTGCACTGGGCTCTTGTGTTGCAGATTTTGTAGACAAACACTTATGATGAGAGGCTGTTCACTTAGATTTTCAAATTCACAAACTGACCTATGACATACAGACACACAGATTTCAGAGTGAACTCAGAGCCTCTGACTGAAAGCTGCTGCTGCTGTTTGTACATCATGCACAACTGCCTCTGACTTTGCTATAGACCTGGCTCAGGCCACTCTAGGGAGCAAATGTGCAGTGGCTTCTCCCTCCCTCCTCCCCTCCCTTGTAGTTGCCTTGTGTTTCAAGTGGAGCTGCTTGCCTCTTATTAGGGCCATGAGGTGACCACAGAGTTTGAAAGGTAGCTGCTGACCAGAGCCCCAGTGCAACTTCCTGTGGATGGCACCTGACCTTTGGCTTTCTCTAAGGCATGTCACAAGGCCTCTTGCATGCAACAGGCCTGCCTCTGTAAGTTGTGGAGTCACTGCAAGATGCATGAGGTGCTCTCACACTTGGCTTCCAGGCTATGACCGTCCTTTTTTTTCTGTGATAACATATTTTAATTGCAACAGTGCAGCTATGGCTATAGCTCTAAGCACTGACTCTTCAGGATTGTTTTCATGTTTTGAAACCTCACGACTCTGAGACAAGTGACCTGTGACCTTAGTCCCATGGGAGTGGCAGGTCCTGTGGGTCCAGAAAATCAGCAGAGAACATGCTTGGTGCAGTGGTGCTCAGAGGAGTGAGCCCAGAGGATGTGGTGGGCATGGTGATGTCTAGCCACTCCATGTTGTCCAGATTGGAGTCTGAAAGGTCGAGAGATAGACAGGGGGTCCCTGCTACAAACTGGGCCTCAGAGGTCTCCATGGGAGAGTGAGAGTGGTACAACATGCTGGAGTGACTTAGCAAGTCATTCTGGAGGTCCTCTATTAGAGAGAAAGGCTCTCTATCTTCACTGCTGCTCTGCAGTGGGGTAATGTCATTGGTCGAGGGTAAAGTTCCATCCAAGAAGGCTTCTAGCTGGTTCTCTAAGCTGGCAGACAAACTGTTCATAGGTTCTAAGGACACCGGTGGTGCTATCTGGACCTGGGGTGGGGGTCGAGACACCACTGTGTTGACTGGCATTGTAGTGATGTTGGCTGTCACTGGTCTCATCTTGGAAATTGGAGAAGGCTCTTCTTTTATAGGGAAGGAAATTTCTGTGCAGAAGAATTGATGGTGTTAGTACAGATATGCTGCCATCCAATTTTGAGTTAGTGACTACCTTGTCACCTTCCTCACATCTTAGAACAGAAACAACATGCTTATTTAATCCTTTTTTGAAAAGTCATTATTGCTGGAGTGCACTCCAGTTTGGCAGTATAGTCTAGAAAGTTCCCAAAAGACATAATATACCTAGCTGTTACTGAGTTCTTGTTCTTTTTTGAGTTATATAAAATTTTGGAGGATTAGGTAGTTGGTTTAATGAGCATCGATTATTTATTTAATTTACTCTTAAAATTTAATTTTTACTTATGTGTACATGTGTATGAAGTGTTTCTGTGTGCAAGTACTCATGGATCCCCTGAGCTGGAGTTACAGGCACTGGAGAGTCAGGCAACATGGATGCTGAGAAGAGAATTCTAGCAATACCAGGGGTACTCCTACAGGAGCAGAAAGTATTAGGCTATCTTTCCAGCCTCAACCCTTTTAGTTCTTTGTGAGTGTCTGCATGTCTTCTTCAAAGCTAACTGTACCCTGCATTTTGAGACAGGGTCTTTCACTGGACTCAGAGCTCACCTGTTCAGCCCCAATGGCTGGCTAGCTCGCCCGCCCCAAGGACCCACTTGTGTTCATCTGCCCCATACCACAGTTGTAGGCATATGTTACTGTGTCTACTTTTGTTTGTTTGTTTTGAGATAGGGTTTCTCTACACAGCCCTGGCTATCCTGAAACTTGCTCTGTAGACCAGGCTGGCCTTGAAATCAGAGATCCTCCCTCCTGTTTCTACCCTTCATGTGCTGGTTAAAGACATGTACCACCAATCACCTGGCTCATTTTTATTTTCTTTGTGGATTCTGGGAGACCAAACTCAGGCTTGCATGGTTTATACTGATGGAGTCATTGCCCTAACTGATCATATATTGATTCCCTGCCAGAATGGCCAGCAAATCGACAAACCTTCTGTTATAGATGCACTAGCGCTCGCTTAGAAGAATTTTAACTACCTCTTTTACTGCTTTTCGAGACAGGTTCTCATTATGTGTAGTCCTGGCTGATTTGGTCTGGAACTTGGAGAGATCTGCCTGCCTGTTGAGTACTGGGATTAAATGTGGTGCTTCATCATGCTTGATTCTATCTCAATTTTCTGAGAATACACTAGGCAAAAGATTTAATATACTTAAAGCTCAGTGTTTCTGAGTGTTATTTCTGTGCATGTGTGTAGAGCTCCTGAAAGCCAGAAGAGGGTGTTGGATTCCCTTAGACTGGAGTTACAGATATTTGTGAGCCAATGGGGTGCTGGGAATTGACACTGAATCCTCTGCAAGAGCACCCATGAATCACTGAACAATCTCTTTATCCCCATAAAAATTATTATTAATCATTGGAAAAACATCTTATCTTCACCAGATTGAGCAAAAATTGAATGCCCTGATTTTAAATACACATTTCATTTTTAAATTTCCAAGTTTTCATAGTTTATGCTAACCATGAGTTTAACAGATTCTTTTTTTTTTTTTTTTAAACCAGGAGGGCAAATTCAGTTAATACTGAATTGCCATGAGTTTATTTTTCACCACTCTTATATACCTTACCTAAAAAGGGGAACATGGTATCATGTTTATGGAACAGACTTTTCTTCCTCACTTATTCTAAGGGTTCAGTAACAACACTTTAGATTCATCTTCTTGTTGAGGGTCAGGAGTAGCCATGCCTCAGACTAGTTCTAGAGTTTAACAGATTCTTAGCAAAGACTTCTACTTATACATGTGACCCATGTGCAAATGGCAAGTGCTCAGACCAGAGCATCTGCCTCCTGGGTCTGATAATGTTTCTCACGGATGGAGAAACAGTAACCAGATTGAAAACTTCATATAAGACTGCTTTTATCAGAGAACTTTAACAATCTGGCTTGTGCATGCATGTGTGTGAGTGTGTGTGTGTGTGTGTGTGTGTGTGTGTGTGTGTGCACGTGCGCCTGCTCAAGTGCGAGTGGGGCCAGGGATGAGATACGGCACCTCACATTTGTATTGCAGTACTCTACCATTGAGCTGCAACCATCCCCAAAAGTTTCTGAAAAACAGATTCTATACTTATTTTTAAAGTCACATGAGATGAGGTAGACTTTTTCTGTGGTTAATGTCTGGACCAAGACAACATACTGTAAACTGATGACTTATTTTAACTTTTAACTACATTTTATTATTTGTGCACTGCCACCACAGCATGTATGTGAAATTCAGAGAACAACTTGTGGGAGTTAGTTCTCTTCTTCCACCAATAAGGGTCATGGATATCAAATTCGGGTCATTAAGCTCAGCAGCAAGCACTTTTACCTTAGGTTATCTCACTATCCCTCATGATTTCTTAAATGTTAGTGCTTGAAATTCTAATAGAATAACTGGAGGGAGCCCAGGCCAGGTAATGGGAGTCTTCTCTGCCCATGCCTAGACACCGGCACACTTTGCAGTTTTGCATAGGGTTTAAAGCTGGTCCATGGTCTTTCCTTTTTGCTAGGTAATGGCTGTGTGGACATTATGTAACTGATGTGGAACTAGAGCCTTTCCTCTGTTGTGTTTTAATGACCTAATTTGAACAGGTTTAAAACTGTCCACTTCTCAGTTTCCAAGAAACTCCGACTTTAGAGAAAGGTTTTCCTGGGCCAGTGGTGTGAGGCCTTTTTTCCACAGTCTCTTGTCCAGCCTACCTACCTTGTCAGCCTTCTGACCTACCTCCATTCTTTATGAGGATGTCGAAGAGGTCGTCCATCTGCTGACTGTGCACGTTGGAAACCTGCAGCCAAGGAAAGCAGAGTTAAAAGCCTTCACCAGGGCAGTGTCTGCAGCCAGGCCCTGAGGATCCTCCGCTGAGCCTCTGCTTTCATCTGACATTTGATAATCTTGAAAACAGCTGAGTAACTTGGTAAATAGAGACATTTACCCAAAATATCACAGCATGGTAGATCAACTAGGAGTCAAGCAGGTCAGCTCCCTCACTTCCACATGTCCCTTACTGTCACTGAATGACACTTTGGGAGATTTCTAACACTTTATTTTACAAGTTTCTAATTTATTTGTATTTAGAAAAAAATTGATATGTGTAAAGATAAACACACTGTGCATATGTTTTCAACTTTGAGGTTTACTTGACATATAAGTTGCATTTATTATATGTAATGGTTTAAATGAAAATGGCCTCCATAGGCTTATAGGGGGTGGCATTATTTGAAAGGATTAGGAAATGTGGTGGCTTTCTTGGAGTAGGTGTGTCACTGGGTGCAGCCTCTGAGGTTTCAGAAGCTCAAGCTAGTCCTAGATGCTCATTCTTTCTTACTGTTACCTCCTGATCCAGATGTAGAACTCTTGGCTCCTTCTTCAGCACTGTGTCTGCATGTGTGCCACCATGCTTCCTTATCACAATAGACTAAACCTGTAAGCCACCCCCAACAAAATGTTTTGTTTATAAGAGCTGCTGTCTCTTCACATCAATAAAACCCTAATTAAGTAAGGTTGGCACTAGGGCCTGGGTATTGCTGTGATAGGCCTGACCATGTTTTTGCCTGGAGGAATATGAACACTTTGGGGCTTTGGACTGGAAAAGCAACTGGACACATAGTAGTAGGAACATGGAAGACAGTAGTGGTAAGGTTGATTTGAACTGTGGGAGCTTGGCTCAAGAGGCATCAGAAGAGAATATTAGTGTGCAGCCTAGAGATTGTCCTTATGGTATTTTGGTGAAGAATGTGGCTGTTTTCTGCCCTTGCCCAAAAATCTGCCTAGGGCTAAATTGAAGAATTATGAATGAAAAGCTCTGGCAGAGGAGATTTTAAAACAGCCTAGTATGGACTGTGTTGCTTGGTTATTAGTGGCCATACTTATGTAGATCTGTAAAGAAAAGGAGCAAGATGAGCATGAAAAAATACAAAATGTACAGTCTGAGGAGAAACAGGGTACCAGGAAGTATAAAGAGATTCAAGAAAAACTTGATGCTCAGTGGATAAAGGGAGTGGTGACCTCAGAGCAAGTTGACCCCACCCAGCTGAGCTTCCAACTTGTGAAAAGAATTAAAGAAGGTGAACACAGGTGGATCTCTGAGTTTGAGGTTTACAGAATTAGTTCCAGGACAGATAAGCTTAGGCAGTGAAGGAAACCATTGAAGATATAGTTGAATGAGGGGGCCATGTTCCAGCCCCAGTAAATAGCAGAACTTGGCAGCTTTGGCCACGTGGTTCTGGCTTTCGAGTTAAAGAGAGAAAAGAGAATCTCACCTTCTGTGACTAAGAAAAGCAGCTGAGGCCAGGCATGTGGCAGGGGTGTTCCAGAATGGAGGCCTTAAGAGGCCATTTTGTAAAGCTGTGAAACTGAAGCCTGGATTACTTTGGAGACCCCAAGACATTGGAATGCCAGAGTCATGAGATACCTGCCAACAGGGAATGGAACCAGCCCTAAGAAAGAATTATGTTGTAGTCAACAAACCTGAAAAGAGTTGGAGATATGAAGATCATTTTGACATCAGACATAAAGATGTGGAGTTTGGAGTTTCCCCAGGTGGATTTTGGTCTTGCTTTGGTCTAGTGTTTCCTCATTATGCTCCCTTTCCACAATTTTGGAATGGCAATGTATATTTTGTGCCATTGTGTATTGGAAATATGTGATCTGCTTTTTGATTATGATTTTATAGGGAACTATAATTAAGAGACTGTCATGAGTATCAGGAAATTTGAACTATGGAGTGTTGAGAGTGTAATAGTCTATGGGGAATTTTGAAGCTGGACTAAATGCATTTTGCATTATCATATGGCTACAAGCCTATGGGGGCCAGAGAATAGAATGTGGTGGTCTGAATAAAAATGGCCCGCAAAGGCTCACTGAAAGTTGCACTATTTGAAAGGATTAGGACACATGGCCTTGTTGGAGGAAGTGTGTCACTGAGGTTTCAGAAGCCCTAGCCAGGCCCAGTGGCTCATTCTCTTCCTGCTGCCTGGGGATCCAGATGTAGAAGAACTCTCAGCTCCTCTTTAGCACCATGTCTGCCTGTGTGCTGCTATGCTTCCCACCATGATAAAGGACTAAACCTATGAAACTGTACGTGAGTCACCCAATTAAATGTTTTCCTTTATAAGAGCTGCTGTGGTCATGGTGTCTCTTTACAGCAATAGAAACCTAATTAAGATACCATAGATCATGGAATTTAATGTTCTGATATGTCTTTGAAACCATTAACAAGATCACCACCATTTCTGTCACTTAGTAAGTTCCTTCATCTCGGGGACACCAGTGTCCTGTTTCTTTCTAAAGAGATCAGTTTCCTAGCAGTGATTCAGACATGCACTTCTTGGGGGGGGGGGCGGTGTAGAAGAGGTGGATTTTTTCATGCAGTATCATTATTCTGGGGTTGTAGTGTGTTTATCCATGTCGTAGGTAGTTTACCTGACTGGCACTCCATGTATGGAAATGCCTGCTTTCCAATTTATTTACTTGCTGATAAGACATTTGGGTTCCCACTTTTGGACTGTTAACAAAGTTGCTATAATAGCCTGTGTACAAGTCTTTACACAGCCATGCCCTGTTTTCTTTCAGATAAGTATCCAGAAATAGAATGACAGAGTGGATGTACATTTAACATCTTAGAAAATAGTCAAACTTAACTGAAGGTTCCTAGCAGCAGGTGCTCTGCATTTCCAGGCTCAATTCTTGAGGTATGTTGTGGAATGGAGATGTGATTCTAATACATTTCCCTGGTGGCTACTAATGGTTGCATGTTTACATACACTTATTCACTCATCACTTATCCTTGGTAAAATATATGTTTAAGTCTTTTGCCACCAGCAAATCTAGTAAGTTTCCTGTTTGAATGGTGTGTTTTCCTTCCAACCCTTGACTTAAAAGCCATGTCTTTGTATTTGATGGATTATGTTTTCTTTATCTGAACTTATCCAGAGTTTACATTTATTCTTTCTTTCTTTTCTTTTTTAAGACACGGTTTCTCTGTGTAACAGCCCTAGCTGTTCTGGAACTTGCTTTGTAGACCAGGCTGCTCTTGAACTCATAGAGATTCTCCTGCCTCTGTCTCCTGAGTGCTGGGATTAAAGGCTGGCTAACATTATTCTTATAGAACACTTTCACTTGATACAGAATCCAGGTCACAGTATCTCTGATCCCTCCTCACTAAGAACTTGAAATAATGTTGTGGCATTTTTTTTTCTGGCTTCCATTAGTTTTTAGAAATGTATTTCATTTATTTTGGGAGTGTGCTTGTGCACATACTATGTTGTTGTATGTTGTGCTACTGTACAATGAGAGTGCAGGAATGGGTTCTTTTCTTCTACCATGTGGGTCCTGAGGATGGAACTCAGTTTGTGTGGCTCAGTTGGCAAGCCCATGGAGCCACCTTGCTAGTCTCTTTCCACCAGTTTTGATGAAAAGCTGACATCAAATAGTCATTTGCCCCTTATGTGATGTACTGCTTTTCTGTTCAGTATCTTTTACCTTTACTTTTGATAATGTGACTGTGACATAATGTGGAATGCCATGATGTAATAGAAATTCTTTTTTGTTAGGTTAGTGTCTGCTGAACATCTCAGAGGTATGAAAACACTAGCTATTACCTCTTCCAGTACTCAGCTGCCCCACTGTCTAGTTTCTCTATCACAGGTTTCAATGTGAGTTACACTGTGGGAAAACATTACACAGGCTCTGAGGCTCCTCCAGTCATGGATGTTGGTTTTGAATTAAAGGTTAAGAGACATGATGCAATTGTATTTACAGGCCATTCATGTATACAATGTAATGGGTTAACTCAGGATGACTCAGGTTTGTGCATGGCTCAGATCAATTCCACTCACTTCATTAGTTGACTTCCTTTCCCTCCCCTCTGCTAAGTTTACCTATGATTTTCTTCAGGTACTGTATTTTTAGTTTTAGAATTCCCATTTAGTTTTTTAAAAGACTTCCTGAAAAAAGGCTGAAAAAATAGGATAAGTCCACACTTCAGCTTGGGTTCAACTCCCTAGCAGGTTTTCCTCTGAGAACAGGATACTACGTGTTGTTTTCTCACATGAATGGCTCTTTTTTAGCAAGCAGCTTGTGTAGCAAGCAGCTTGTGTACGTTAACTTCGGCTTTCTGTCTTCTGTTTGCAGCTAGGCTGCTTGAGTCTATTCCAAGGTTCTGAGGCTTGGAGCTTAGGTGGAGCTGAGCATCCAGAATTTAGGACTTTCTTATCTTGAATTTCTCCTCAGGAGCTCATAGCTGGGTCCTGTGGTCTGAAGGCTATGGTGACTACCACTTTCTACCAGCAACCCTGACCATTAGCTAGACCCCATGGTAAATGGAGCAGCAAGATAGAACTCATGCCACCTAAGTTCCCTCCTCTGATTGTAGGTTTTCCAACACAATGCTGAGTGCACTGAGCCTGCCTCAGTTTTGTGTTAGTGATTACCGTGGAAAGATGGAGCCAGCTGGGACCCATTCGGCCTCTGGTGGACCCTCCAGATTCTTAGTGGGACTGAGGAAGTGCTGATACATGCCTGGTGCTTAGAGCCTAGGAACTAAACCTAGTGAGACTGAACTGCAGAATCCCTGCTGGATTCTTCTGTTGGTATATGCATCAGATGGGCAATGCCAGTGCGCCTATATGTGAGAACTGTGCTAGGTGGGTGAGGGCTGCCTTCTAGTCATTAAAATCACTTGGAAGTTCATTCCTACTCCCTGGGCAAGAGACACTACTTTCAAATAGACTGTGGGGAAGGGCAGGCCAAGATCCATTTATTTAGACTCTCATAGCAAGGTGTAGACTTATTATTATTATTTTTTCTTTTCTTTTTAAATCTGGCTTTTCCCTCACAGCTGATGTCTCTGTTGAGCCTGGGATATTTCACAACCAGGAAAAGCTGTCTTTCCTCTGCAACCCAGAGCATTTCTTCAGAGGCACTGACTGACCAAATGCAGACAGTGCACCCTAATTAAGGGAGCTTACTTGTTGGATACTTATAGGAGAAAGGTGCTGCCTTGCCTTTTCATGCCTTAAAAAAAAGCAAATATAGCAACATACCATGTGTCTCTGACAAGTATTTCACAGAATATGGGCCATGGGGCTGCACATATACACTCAAGTTCTTGCTAGCTGCTGTGAACTCTTGCTAGAATTCACTGTGATCTATTGTGACCTCAGGTCCTGTGGGAGTTTGGATTCTTTTCTCAAAAGTAAGTGTTCAGCTCTGGACAAACAGGGCTAGGATGTGTTTGGTCCTCCACAGGCTTGATGCCTTTTATAATTGAGAGTTCTCAATCTGCTCTATGGGGACACAGCTGCTGCTACCCTTATGTTAGAGGGGACCCAGGAGGGCTCCAAGGAGACATATACACCTTGCCTGAGGCCACACTGTAAGAGTTGATCTCAATAGTTACTGTGGGCAAGTGGCTTGCAAGTCTTCAAATGCCAATTAAAAACAGCCAGCTCAACTATAACTTCCAGCTGGAATCTGTGTTCTGAGGCAAGTTCTTGAGAGGATGACACTCACCTCTGGAAGGGCTGGTTGGGCACTACGTGTCTGCTTGATGGCCTCTTCATATCGAGGTGGGTCTTTTGTCTTGGTGACTGGGGTCCCAAACAAGGAGTGCTGGACAACAAACGGCTGGGGTGGGGAGGGTGAGCTAGGCTGCATCGAAAACAGGAGAAGCACTTATTAGCTCTGGGCTACACAACTGCTCCTACAGTGACTCAGTTCTGCTGTTCTACCCACAGTGGTTCTTCCATCACCTCATAGACAGGTGTACTAAGTATCTGGGTAGGTGACAGCTGATGGCTGTCTTGTGGAAGGGTTCTTCTTCACTGATCAGAGATCCAAGTCATTGTCAAAGGTCTGGTTCACTCCCTCAACTCCAACACTAAGTCAACACACACTGCAGGTGCCAGGGAATATTGTAGATGCTGCCTCACTATTACTTACCTTGCTGGCTGTGCTAGGGCCATTTTGTAGTGGTGCAAGTGGGGTGCTTCTAGACTGAAGAACAGGGTTGGAGCTTTTACTGACAAAGGGTTGCTGGGTTGTTGGGCCAGGTGGCCTCTGATACTGAAGAACTGTGTTTGGTGCCGAGTTTGTGAAGACCTGTGACAAAATGAAAGAAAGAAAACTGTTTTAGAGCAGGGGCCAACAAACTTTGAAGGTTTGTGGGTCACAGGGTCTCTGGTGGAAGCATGAAGGTAACCTTGAGCAGTGGGAGACAAGGCAGCTGCCAATAGGACTGGATCTGTAGACACAGGTGGAATGGGTGCCTTTGGTGAATGACTTGTTCTTATGCCATGTAGTCCAGTTCCCCTTGGACTAGAGTTACAGACAGCTATGACACAACATGTGGATGCTGGGAATTGAATCCAGAAGAGTACTCAGTGCTCTTAATTGCTGAGCCATCTCTCTAGCTCCAACATATATATTTCTTATCATGAGAGTACATGGGTACACCTATCACTCTCCAAATGTACCTACTGTGTGTAAATCTTCCACAGGGCAAATGGCACTTTATGGAAATAATGATTCCTAACCCTAATATTCTGAGATGAAGCGAGAAACCCTTACTTACTGTCAATATCATTGTAGACACTCTTCCCTAGGCCAAAGGAAGCCCAACTTCTTTTAAGATTATACAAGTACACTAAAGTGGTATTTTGGGGTTTCTAGACTTGGTCATGTATGACCCTGCTTCCTTTTTCACTCATGTTAATGTTAGTGTTGATAAGATGGGCCCTCAGTTTCACCCTCAAGTTGTCTTAGCACCTGAGACTTTCAGATCGGGGTACCTAAAAACCTGGTCAAGATCAAAGCTCTGAGCTCAGACCTAGGATAAAAATGTCTGTTTTGAGGCCTTGAGGTAGCCTAAGCTAGACTCACACTGGAGACTCTTCCTGTGTCAGCCTTCCCAGGGTTGGATTACAGGTGTGTGCCTGACACCTGACCCTCCCAGCTCTTCCTCCATGATGTGAGAGATTCTCAGATATGAAGTTCTTACGTGAGAGAGAAATGTAAAAGTATCTTTTTTATCTTCAATTATCTTTACCCATGGAACAACATATTTAATCAGAAAAGAAATATACCTTAAAACTCAGTAAGTCCTGTGTACCAAGATTATAAAAACATGCTCTGGAAACTTACATGAAAAGGCTTGGAATATTGAACCAGCTTTCATACTAAAGATTTATCCCAATCTTAGGAAAGAGTATCTGTGGCCGAATAGCTTTGGACCTACAGTTTGTTCTATGGCTGAACATCACAGGGGCTGTGACAGAAAAGAGAAGCACCTTTCTGACTGGCTGAGGCTGGCCCAACACATGCTGTGGGAAGGCCTCCTGCTGCTGAGGAAGTGCTGGGGCCAAGGCTGCTGCTGGAATCTGTGTGGCAGTAGCTACCTGAGGCTGAGCCTGAGCTCCTCCTGGTGCTGGAGTCTAGGAAGAAAACAAAAATTAATTTTAGTGTCGAGAAGCACATCTGGGATTGAGTTTTTAACACAGTGTAACTGTTTGCTTGGGAATCACAGCTGAGATGAAATGACACAAAACAATTGACAGTCACATACTTTGGTTCATCTGACCTTTGGCAACTATTTTCTCAAATTTTTCTTTTGTTTTGCAAGACAGGGTTTCTCTGTGTAAAGTCCTGGCTGTACTGAAAATCACTCTGTAGATCAGGCTGACATGGAACCCAGAGATCTGCTTGTCTCTGCCTCCCAAGTGCTGGGAGCCCAGCTAATTATTTTCAAATTTGCTTTTTTACTGATAGAATTATAAAAAAACTATCATTAATTGGGTACCATGTGATAGTGTGCTACACACACATTTTGTGTCCTGAAACATTTTCTCCTTCCTCTTTCTCTGGAGATGGAGACTAGGGGTTCAAAACTGATTACCTTCCCAAGAAAAACAGTACTTCATTACTTAGTCACCTGCCTGAACAACACACTGGCACTTCTATCAGCCTTCTCTGAGGGAGCTCAACAATCCTACACCAGTGACAAACACGGCTAAGATTTCATTAGAAGTTTTGAAGGCAGAAAACAGAAACAAGGCAGCTCTATAAAGAACAGTCAGGTCTGTGGCACATTTAAGGGAAACTAATACCCAACTGCCCACAACCCTGCTTTAAGCTTATAGTCTGCAAACAGTCAAGAAGTGCTGGGCACACAGATGTACAGAGGCCCAGCAGAAAACAAGACCTGTTCTTGTATTAATTCTAACAAAATATTTAGATCAACCCTCCCCTTCCCCCGCCAAAATATGTCATAGAATGGACTTCCAGCTCTCAAGTATTCTACAAACAAAGGAGGGGACTTTTGCGCTTGCCAAGTGTGTTTGGACTCTGCCCCCTAAACTCAGGTGTGAACTTATTCTACTGCTGTCATGGGATACTGGGAAAATTAAAGCAGCACTGGCTCAAATGGCTTTCTGTTCTCCTTATGATAACATCTACCAGAAGTGCTGCACAGAGCACAGCAGTCAACAAGCAAGCATATCCCCACAGTTAGAACAGGCCTGGCCCATGCTTTCCTCAGCATACTCATGTGAATGCCCCCCCCCCATCCAGTCAGAAGACAGGGTTTATATGTCACATCTGTCCTCAGGCTCCTTATCTAAAAATGTGCTGTCACTTAAAATCAGGGCAGAGGTGACACACAGAGGTTTAGTCAATTTTCATTATGGTGGGGAGCATAAAGACACAAAGGCAGACATGGTGCTGGAGAAAGAGCTGGGAGACCTATGTCTGGATCAGCAGGCAGCAGGCAGAGAGAAAGCCTGGCTTGGACCCTTGAAATCTCAAAGCCCTCCAATGACACACTTCCTCCAATAAGGCCATACTTCCTCCAAGGCCATACCTCCTAATCCCTCTCAAGTAGTGCCACTCCCTAATGACCAAGCAAAAATATGGAACACTTAATGAATTTGTGTGTCATTCTTGCACAGGGCCATGCTAACATTCTCTGTATCATTCCAATTTTCATATATGTGCTGCTGAAATGAGAACAAACTTTTTTTTCCCTCACCCCAACCACCCACACTATGCCTTCCACAACCATAGCCTATAGTAACTGAGCAACAGCTCAGGGCTGGCTGTACCACTCATACTCACTGTAAAGGCAATACCGTTAGACATATTTTGTACCTGTAGTTGAAGGCTGCCTACTGGAAGTTGCACTGATGTGACATTCGAGCCCTGGATGGACACCGGCAATAGCAGCTGAGTGGTCTGTGTGGTCAGTAAGGCCTGAGGCTGAGCAACAAGGGCAGGTGGCTGTCCCTGAGAACTCACAAAAAACTGCGAGACAACACTCTGCTGTTCTGCTTGGGCTATGGGGACCTCCTGCTTGATGACCACAGCCTTTTTGGCAATAAGGGTCTGGCTGCCTGTGGAGATGGGTTGCTGGGGGCTAGAGCAGTCAGGAAGTGAGGTCTCATCCTTGATGGAGGACCTAACACTGCCATGAGTCTGATCTGATGTACTGAGGGGCTGTGAGGAGCCACTGGGTTGAGGATCTGGGGGCCGCTGCCCTCGTTTTTCCACCTCAAGTTGCATCTTGAGGACCTCTACAAGCTTCTGCTCTTGTTCCAGTTTCCTCTTTAGCTCTTCAATCTGCTTCTCCTTCTCCTGAAGCTTGCGGTCCTTCTCAGCAGCATCCAGTTCTAGGGCTGACAGGGTGCTTGTGGGGCTCAGACTGTCCTCATGGCCTGCCACCCTCAGTGGGGAGGCACACAGGAACTGGGAAGGGGACATCATGTTCATGATCTCAGTGAAGGTGTCTGTCATGTTTGTGTCATCAGTACTGAGACTGGATGGCTCGGAGGGTGATGGAGAAACAGGCAGAGGGGAATGGACACTTTCAACGTGGGCCACATTGCTGGGTCCAGCAGGTGGCAAGTCTGCCTTGAAAGTGGACACAGAGCTAGTCACAGCATTATGCAGTGTTGTGACTGGCAGTGCCACCGTCATCTCTGGGTTACTGGTAACAATAGCTCCTGAAGATACTGCCACAATACTGCCAGCAGCAAGGCCACTGCTGGCCACTTCCTGGTAGGGTTTCAGGCGTTCAATGAGGTCTGGTTTAGTGCCTGATACTGGCAGACCCCTCAGTTTGAGTTCTGTCTTCAGTTCTGACACCTGGAGGAAAAAGAAGATCAGGTGTTTGGTTCTGTGAGTCTCCTGTGTGTAAAAAGCAGAACTACCTCCCTTGTCTAAAGAGGGATGGATGGGCTCCACTCCCAACAGATGCCTGAAGCTGACATATAAACATAGACTTTCTCCATCTGTACTCACGGTAACACACTTAAGTCTTCAGAGGAGGCAAAGAGCCCTGTGAGAGGTACCTGAAAACTGCTGGTACTGGAGAACTGCTACTCAGAAGTGGTTTCTTCCCATGGTGCTCAAATAAGGCACATGTCAGCAAATGAGAATTACCACTTATTTGAAAGATAAAACTTAATGGAAATAAAGAGAAAACACTCCCATAAAGGGTACTACTGTTGTTCATCTATGGAAAACTACCTGTATGACAGGCAAATCTGGCCAGGTACTTAGGGGTGAATAAACTTAAGGTAGAATCATTACCTTTAAGTCGTCCAAGCTGGAAGGCAGAGGTCCTGGCCTCCTCGCAGGTACAGTCGTGTTACTACTGCTGTTCTTGTCGTTTCTTAAAAAGAAGAGTTTACAACAAGTTGCTGCTATTAACAAGCAGACTCAATTATAGACACATTTGGGAAGACTGAGTATCATGGAAATGTCAACTGCATCCTATCCCAGTCAAATTCCTAGAGGCTGTCTGTCAGCGTAGAGGAAATTTAGAAGATGTCTCTAAGCTTGTACCCTTGAAAGGAAAGCTGTAAGGGCTACAAACTAGCAGTGGGACATGCTGCACACCAGCAGCTACATTCTAGTCTGGAAAATCAAGTTTCTTGAGGTTTGGGCAAAGTGCTGAGTGGATTTTTGTTTGTTTATTTTTGTTTTTAGAGACAGGGTTTCCCTGTGTAGCTTTGGAAGCTATCCTGGAACTAGCATTTGTAGACAAGGCTGGTCTTGAACTCACAGAAATCTACCTGCCTCTGCCTCTCAAGTGCTGGGGTTAAAGGTGTGTGCCACCACCACTCAGCCACTGAGTGTTTTATGTATCATTAGTTTGTACAAATATAGCTTGCCTGAAGATCAGAGTGCTGAGCAAGCCACTAGCTAACCACAGAGGCCTGGAGGTGTGTACAGACAGATTGGAGGTGAGATGGCTAGGCAGAGGGAGGAAGTGATGAGGCAGCAGGAGACAGCAAGGTAAAGGTGGCTGTGGTTTTGCTCCTTCATCTCTCTATCTCTCAGCATTTTCCCCTCTATCTGACTCTGAGCTTTTATTATTAAGACCTATTAGAACTTGTGTTATAGTAGTCTCTTCTCAAACAGAACTTAAAAGTCTCACCTCAGAGTTGTAAAAACTCAACTGGTGCTTTTGTCTTTATTGTCATTTAATATTGTCCCCACAAGGGGCATTCTTGGACATTTTTCCCCCCTCCGGAATCAACCTCTCTTATAAAGTTTGAATAACAGCTATACTAATGTCCCTACACCAAGCCACCTTTCATTTCCTATTTGATGATAATGTCCTCTGGAGAATATACAGTGAAGTATTACTCTTGGGGCTAGGAAGATACTATGTGAGCTTGAGGACCCGTGTTTAGATCCCCAGCTTGAGGACCTCCATAAAAAGCTGGGCAAAGAGGGATGTATCTAATCTCCACACTGGGGAGGTGGAGACATAATGGTTCCTGGGGCTTGCTGGACAAGCCAGTAGGCCAACTCAGTAAGCTCTGGGTTTGATGAGAGACACAACCTCAGAAAATAAGGTGGAGAGTGACTGAGGAGCCACCTGATACTGACCTTTACACATGTGCACCAGAATCACAAATGTAATCCTTTTTGCTACCTTTATGGCTGAGGTTCTCTATCCCTGCCTATGATTTATTGTTTAACTTATTTCTGTTACTTTAAAAGCTGAATTCTCTTTTTACCTAAAGTACAGGTAAGAGACCGGAAGTTCTGAGGCCCAAAGTGTACTTTCTGACGCCTTCCATAACTTGCTGATGTAATCTAAGTTCAGGCTTACTCTACAATAACAAGGAGGCACAGAGACACACAGAAACCACCATAGAGCTTCAGGGTTTTTTTGTCATTTTGTTTCTTGAGATGGAGACACGCTGTATGGCCTGAGCTAAACCTGAACTTACAACCTCCAGCCTCACTTCCCCTCATGCTGGGAGTCTGGCCTCATCAGACCTTGCTTCAGTTCTGTTTTGTTCTAAGACAGCTGTGTTAAAGATTAGTAGTACGCTAAAAAACAAAATCTTCATTTTTCAGATCTGGGAAGCAGCCAGAATTTCAGTTACTGACATTAGATGGCTTGCTCCTCTTCCCAGGGTAGGTGGTTTAGTTATGGTAGTTGGGGATGCTTGCAGAGGAGAGGGAAACTGAAGCCTCAAAGAAGGTCAGGATTTGTGGAGTCTGGAGTCCTATGTCCTAGATATCCTCTTCCCAGGTAAAGAAGTAAGTTGTTTCAATTTTTATTTTGGGGATGAAGAGTGGGCTCAGCACTAAGCACTTATTGCTCTTGTAGAGGATCTGGGTTCCATTCCAAGCACCTATATGGCAGTTTACAACTGTCTTGTCACTCAAGTCCCAGGGGATCTGATGCCCTTTCTGACCTCCTCTGGCACCAGGCATGCACATGGGACACATACATACACACAGGTAAAACACTCATACACATAAAATAATAGACCTTAAGAACTATTTAAAGTTTTATGTGCATGGATGTTTTACCTGCAAGTATGTCAGTTTCACCTTTAAAAGGACAACTGATCATAGGAAATACCATTTTGTGGAATTTGCAGTTTCAGTTTCCTCAATGGGATGGAGTTACTAGACTGTAGCAGGGGTGATGGTGGTGTGAACAGCTAGGAGCCATAGTTACCACTGTAGTCATTATTGGTGCCCAAGCAGGTGGTGGTGCAGGATGCAGGATGCAGCCCAGGTCTTAGACAAAGCTAAAACATAGTGACAGTTGCTTGGATCCTGTCCCAACTCTGCCGGATTCATTTTATCATAATAGCAAGCACACTCAGGCTTGCTTGCTCTTAAATAATAACATGTTACAAAATCTCCATGTTCTGTTTTAGGCATGTGCTTCACAAGATGGTCTAAATTACTAATGAATTTAATCTTCATCATGATATTTTTATCTTAAGAGAAGAAAACTTCTAGTCATTCCTCTATAATACTGAATGGCTTGCTCAGGGTAGTTTAAATGACAAGCTGCTGTGTACTTTCCTGGTCTCTCCAGAGCGGGATAAGTGAGAGTGGGATTTTTGCATCTTTGAGTTTCAGAAAAAATCATATTGGAACAAGTATCTATAACACTCTTTAGTCAATGAGTTGAGGGTACAAACTTGCTTCTTCTGGGCCCTAACAATAGGTTTTAAGCTGTGGAAATGGTGTCCTTCTCTGTTCCTGGACACCTTTCTCTGTGAGTCACCTGCTGATTCCTTCATTATTTCATCACCTCCCCTTTACACTTGAACATTTCCAGAGTTTCCTTCATTATCCATATCCAACTGTTGTTTGTAATGATTCAGTCCTACCAGGTTACCACTATCTAAGACCCTGTACCATCTGCCATGTGGAACAGTCTTCTGCAGCAGGGATTCTTCTTTTTGTATTTTACCTTTCTTAGGAATCACTCATGGTCTCCAACACCACCACTGCATGCCTTTCTCTGTTTGGAAGAGCCTTCTAGAGCCTTCCATGTGAAACTTTCCGCAAAGCTTTCTCTGACCGCTCCTGCCTTTACACCCATGCTTTTTCATCGCATGTGGGTGTGCATCCTGTGGTTTTCTCATGGCATCTGATATGGACAGGTCGCATGGGCACATCTTTCCTGAATAGCTGAGAGAAGCTATGGGGGACAAATGTTGAACTAGAAGGCAGGCCACATTCACTTTGGGACTGCAGACACTATGTGGTAAACATGGAAAGCAGCCAAGCAAGGGTGGTCCCTGAGCAGAGTACTTGGCCACACTCAACCTTGTGTAACTTGGGATCCTCCTCCCGAAGCCAGGGTACAAGCCATGGCAGGATAAAACCCAAGCACAGGCTTACTTGATGGGTGCGGGCAGGATGGTCTGGTAGTTGTAGTGCTGCTGCTGCTGCTGCTGCTGCTGCTGGCTCAGGATTTGTAGCTGTAGGAAGAGCTGCTGCTGCTGGAGCAGGCGGGCATAGTTGGAGTCCATCTGTGGCTCACTCTTCTCCCCTTTCTGGTTTGGAGGAATGTACTGGTGGTACTTCAACTTTTTCACTCGGGGTTTTGGATCTTTGCATTTTTTGCTACGGTGTTTGTCATTTGGATTCTTAGGATGGCTTTGCTATTTTTTGAGGAAATAAAAAAATAAAAGGGAGAACATTTTAAGAGATGTCAGTTCATGAAAGAGATTCTATCATGTGCCTCAGTGACTCACAATAAAAAAAAAAAAAAAGAAAAAAGTAAAAAAGCAGTGTGCCTTAGATGGTCTTAGGCAGCCTTGGGGAGGCAAACCTGAAATACATTTCAAGAGCCACTGACCTGGCCCTGTAATCTCAACACTCAGGAGGTAGCAACAAAAGGATCAGGAGTTCAAGGTCAGCCTTGCCTATAGAGTCTGAGGACAGCCTAGGCTATATACAACCCTGTCTGAAATCAAAGAACCATGAAGACATTTGCAGACTTAATTTTAAAATTCACATTCTACATTGCTCCCTCAGCACAGCCAAGATGCTTGGTCTGACACTGCCTATGCAAACAATAACAGACATATAATCTGGGCCTTCTGCATAGATACAGTATCTCCTAGTAAAAAGCAGGCTGTATGGCTATGTAAAAATAAGTACATACTTCCTATCATATATCAATAAGATTGATTACATAAGCAACATTAAGAAAAATAACAGAACTCAAAACATCAGGCAATATAAATTTTAAAAAAAAATTGAAAATGTTTAATTTTTATTTTAAAATGGGGTAAGACCATATATCTCTCATATCTTATGACTGACAGAGAACTTTTACTTGAGTTGTTGCTTTCAGTTTCAAAATTACAACTTTACCTTTTCAGGTGAAGAACAAAGCAAGTTGTTTGTTTTGCCCTATTTCAGTTTGTTTTTGTTTTATCTTATTCTTTAGATGTTTGTTTGTTTTCTAATGAGAGACAGAATTGGGTATAGATCCCGATGTGAGGGAAGGTGGGGAGAATCTTGCAGGAATTGGGGAAGGGGAAAATGTGATTCACAATTGTACAAAAAGCATCTATTTTCAATAAAAAGAAGAAACACATAAGAAAACAAAAATCAAAATTAAAGAGAACAGTGGGCTGGAGAGATGGCTCAGCTGTTTATAGAGTATTGGCTGCTCTTACAGAGGACCTGGGTTTGGTTTCTAGCACCCACATGGTGACTTACAACCATCAGTAACTCTAATTTCCAGGGGATCTTTTGAGCTCTTTCAGTACAAGCCACTCATATGGTGCAAATACATACATGTAGGTAAAATATTCATACAAATAAAAAATACATCTGAATATTATTATTATTATTAACAATAATAATAATAATAATAATGATAATAAAAAACAGACAAAACAGGACATTATTCCCAGGCTGCTTTAGTGACAGACAACTAAAGAGATTTTGTTATAACATCCTTATAACCAAAGAATGAGAAAATAACAAGTTCTCCCCACAACAAAGAATGTAGAGGCTGCTAACACTCTTGGGCACATCCTTCCTATGTGAAAGCATGCCAGTGGGGGGGGGGCGCTCATGTACGATCATTGGAAATGTACCTTCCTTTCCCTGCACTACAGACTGCATGGACTCTTCTCATCATAAAAGAATGGATTTACAGCATGGTTTTTATAGTGGTGGTACAAAGAGCTCATGGAAACAGGCTGCTCTGACTCACAAAAGTTCAGTGTACCTCTTTTCCCAGCTCTGCACTTGTGACATCACACTGGTACTTGAAGCTCGTGGCTGTAAAATGGGAGCAAGTACCCCATGGAAACTAGCCTTTCCACATGCTGAGCTATTATACACCCTCCAGCATGCTGCTTAAGTAACAATCCAATTAGCTGGTCAGCTAATTTCAGCATGCACAAGGAAGAGTCTGTGCTATATGAATGTTGCTGGAGCCTGGCCTCTCTGTTACCCCAGGAGCACTCCTTCCTCTGCCTGTCCCGGGACTGCACTTCTCTGAAAGAAGACACTAGAGAAGAAAAGGAGGAGAGAGGTGACAAAGGTCAGGCTGGTATCATGGTTCTCTGTGCCACTGAGGGAAGTAGAGTGAACACTGGTGGGGTGGGGTGAATGTAGAGGAGAGGTTGCACAACGCATTAGGAGGTGACTTTGTTGACATTACTGCATCTGTGGTTAAGTTGGGGAAAGGTGTTCCGAAGTTAAGAGTCACATTGGCTCAGACAGCCTTAGCCTTATAACCGAATGTTGCCATGACCTTCAGAGCAGAAAAAAGTTGGAGTAGAACCTGGGAGATTGGGCCTTTTTAGCATGCCACTTCTTCAGTCTCTGCATGGTGACAAGAGGTGACAAGACATGATATCTGCCAGTTTTAGGAAACGCCACAAATGAGATGGCTAGATTAGTCCTTATTGCTGTTTTCCCCATAATTTAGAAATTATAAATAGGATTTTAAGAACTCTTAACAATGTAAGTTTTTTTCCTCATTCCTTGGGATTTACTCTAACTGTATTATTTCAACCAAGTGCACTTTGGGGAACAGCGCCAGGAACCGGGGGTGTATCTGAGATCATGCCAAGCTGCTTCTGACCAAAATGACTCAACCAAAGGGTCCTCTTGAGCCTCTGACCAGCACAGACTCTCATTTGGATGCCACAGAGCTTCACTTTGTGCAAAGCTGGCTGTCATGAAAGACATCCCTGGGATGTCAGCACTTCATACAATCCAAGCTCCATGTCATTCTATTGCCATGAGGACAGGTCATGTGCTGACCCAGATCAGAAAACATTATAGTTTTGATTTCAAAGTTGTTGGAACTCAAGACCCATGCCTCTGTCTTGTGTCCACAGGCTTGATACTGAGGCACCAGCCACTGAGTGAAGCCCTTCAGTGCTATGTTCTGGGCACCTACCTTCACCAGTGTTGGGCCAGGCTTCGCTGAGGACACAGTGTTTGTGGGGAGGATGGGAACTGTAGATCTTGTGGGAGGCTGGTCCGAAGTTACAGGGGTTTTCAAGAATTCAGGAACTGCTGGGGACACTGAGGTAAACTGGTGGGAAAGGCAGAAAGACACAAGAGATCAGTGACTGTAAGAGGTCTGGAACTGCAAGAAAATGGACTCACTTTACAAAAAGCATCCTTACTGATTATGCAATACAAAGTGATTGGCCCCAAATCATATTCAGACAAAAGACTCAGCAGGTCGTATTTTTATATTTATGCACAGATTCACATACATATACATATATGTAATAAGAACAAAGAAAAAGAGTATTAATTTGAGAGTGGGGGCTTAATGGGGATCTAGAAGGAAGAAAGGGATGGATAAGTGATGTAATTCTATTTTAATTAAAATGTATAAAAACTTACAAATATAAAAAAAAGCCTAAAAATGAAACAAGGAAAAATATACTATTGTGCCTGAGATGCAGAGGGAATTATAGGCTGAATCTCCATGAAGTAGGTCACTTAGGCTAACCTCTATAGCAGTAGGCAGCCAAAATTAAGGAAGGGTTTGTGTATTGTACCCCCCACTTCCCTCAGAAGTATGAGGTTTTTTTTTTTTGGCAAAAAACAAACAAACAAACAAACAAACAAACAAAAACCCCAAAACAAAACAAAACCCAACTCATAAAAGCACTCAAAACAATGCATGGCACTTCTAAACCTTTCTTGATAGGTCATGCTAACCCTGGCTCATTCACATGTATATATGGTTTCACCTTTCAGAGCATGGGCCTGCACCATGCTAGCCCCCTTCTGCTGTTGGCAGCATCTCAGAGAAGGATCATGCCATCCCCAGGGGCCTTCAGTGTATTGGACACCTTACACTCTGTCTCTAAACTGATGCTAACTGACTACAGCCCCGTGTCTTTTAAAAGAGAAACCAAAAAATGTGTTTCCAGGAGACTGTCTCCTTGCACACTGGAGCTTCTCCTTGCACACTGGGGCTTTCCCTTTCTCAGGAGCTAGGATGGACATGTGGGCAAAAGTAGCTCAAAAGTAATCTACTCCAAGTATGTGACATGCCCACCACACCACCAGAGAGAATGCTGTGTTCTCACTTCTGCTTCCTTATTACCAGCTTTTCTTCAGGAAAGATATCTCACTCCCTTTAGTTCCTTGAACAATCCTCAAATGCATTATGGAAACAATCAAAATCAGTCCTCTTGTGGAAGTATTTAAAATAACAAACTGCATTTCCCTTCCTTATGATAAACAACCTGAAAACTTGGAGTGCTATTAGCAATAAGAAATATGAAGCCTGGTGTGTATGCTCAATAAACATCTGTTTAATTGATGTACAGCATTCTTGTGGTTTCCCTCAGTAGTCACATTCTCAAGCCCAGCTGTGCTTGTGTGAGTGTGTGAATGTACAAGTCCAGTGCTCTCTCTCCCTGAGGCTTGCTCCTGCTACTCATTTCAGCTTAGATTATTAACATAAGACCATGTAGGAGACTTGATAAAGACGGCTGTGATTGGCTTCAATTCATCCAGCAATGAAGACTAAGGATGCATCCCATGTTTCAGACTCAGCTCTCCAACACTCTGGATGTCTGGCCAGGAAAATTGTGGCCAAGTTTCATGCATCAAATGAAAGGTGGCAGTTCCTTATGGGACATGGTCTTTTGCTATCAGTGGTCCTTTTACCTGGCATACTTTGGGGACAGATTTACTTACTTCTAGGTATATTCTTTGGCGCTTGTATAACTGGTATATGAAATAGAATCAAATGCTTGGAATTCTGAATTACACATTACCTCTCTACAAAAGCATTCCAACTGGTGAGATGTATGACCAGCTCAGGCAGTCATGGCATATTTAAGAGTGAGTAAAGGGCCATGTGGTGGTGGGAGATGTCATTCTGTAAATATTGGTTAATGAATAAACCCCGTTGGCCAATAGGAAAACAAGATAGGTCAGACTAGGAGACAAGGAAGATTCTGGGAGATGTAGTAAGGAGACTCAAGATGTAGGGACTTGAGAGGTCTGAAACCTCTCTCCGATAAGACCACATGGAAACACTAAGATTAATAGAAATGGGTTAATATTTAAGACAGAGCTAGCCAATAAGAAACTCTAGTAACAGGCCATACAGCATCTCTGTGTGTTATTTGGGACCGATGTGGCTGTTAAAGTTTCTTGCTTTGCTGAGGAGTCTGCCAGACACACTATGGCTTAAGACAGAACATTCAGGTGACTGACCAGGCAAGTTGTCCCTGTCATTTCTAGAGTTTATATATTATCTTTCTGTGGTCTTTGATGGAGTTGAAGACAGATAGTTATGATTATAGTTTTCCTTAGGATTAAAGATAAGTTACATGTAAGACTTTAAACTCACAATGATAGGATAGATGATGGAATATTTTCTTTAAATCTTGTTGAATGTCAATGGACTAAATATTGCTAACTATAGTTCTTATTTGATAATTGTTACATATTTACTATTTTAAAGTTAAAATCCTTCTTTTGATTTAGACAGAAAAGAGATGATGGGAGATGTCATTATGTAAATATGTTTCTCTTATGATTAATGAATAAAGTCCTGTTGGCAAATAGGAAGGCAAGATAGGTGGCAAGGAACTAGGAGACAAGGAGGATGCTAGTAAGGGAGATTCAAGATTTAGAGACTTGAGAGAAGAGGTGCAGAACCTCTCTCCGGTAAGATAAAGACCATATGGAAACACTTAGATTAATAGATATGGGTTAATATTTAAGACAGAGCTAGCCAATAAGAAACGATAGTAACTGGCCAACAGTTTTATGTTTAATACAGTGTCTCTGTGTGTTATTTGGGGCTGACACGGCTCTGGGACCAGGCTGGTGGGGGAAACTGCTTGTAACAACCTGGAAGTAGAGATGCAGCATCTTGGGGAGGCTTGTGAGGACGACTTTTTGCCTGCATTCCTAGGCTGTGCCTCCTTCAGCCTCTAATACAGATGTTGTCTTCTCACTATTTCTATTTCAATGTGACTATTGTCCAGAGAAACCATAAGACTAAGTCCACTGAAATACAGTGGTTGTTCACTGTTCCTAAGAAAAGATAAACAAGTGGAAAGGACAGATATCCAGAATTCTCTAGGCATTCTGTTTGGCTTATTTTGTGTCTTGAAGGACTCAAATCAAATGGCACCTATACATATCTAGGGTTCTAAAAGAACCCAGGTGCCGGAGTTCTGAAATGGCCATGTTCTTCTAAAGGTGTTAAAAACATCCAGGTCACAGAGGACACTTGTCTGCTCTATAGTTAGTCTGTCATCATGAGTAATATGTCACTGTCTTAGGAAGAATACTAGGTAAGTGTCTAAACTGACACTAAAACCTGCTTTCACTTTGTGAATATCTAACTTCAATGAATCAGAATTAATTTCCCCTAAAGAAGAAATAGAAGCTGCAGACTTGATTTCCCATCTTACTGGATGACTTTTCCCACCACAGGATACAGGGCTCATGATTGCTAGTGCCTTCATTTTCATCCTAACACTATCAAAGAAAACATCAGGGGGCTGAGGGCTGGCTCAGCTGGTGGAGTGCTTGCTGTGTAAGCATAAGGACCTGAGTTTGGAACCTTTGCACCGATACAGAAAATTCAAGGTGCAAAGTGTGCAGCTGTAATCCCAGTGCTGAGGAGACAGACAGGAGGATCCCTGGAGCTCTTTGGCTAGCCAGCATTGCCAAATTAAGTGAGCTTCAGGCTCTGTGAGAGATCCTGTCCAAAAATGTAAGGTGAAAGAGACTGAGGAAGACTCCTAATGCTATTCCCTAGCTTACATATACACTCTCACACATACATTTACACACATGCACACATACATTCACATGAACACATACAACATATATAATATTTAACATCAACCTCTTACTTCTACATATGTGCACGCACACCAAACACCAAAGGAAAATGTCAGAAAAATATAAAATATGGATATTTTGAAAATAAGTTAGAAAAAGAGACTCTTAACTTTAAAACTAACATTTCTTTTATTAGAAATTGCTACAGAAGTTCACGATGCAGGCTCTGGCCCTCCCCTGTAGGTTACTGTCTGCACATGAAGGCTCAGGTGTTGCCTTTTGGAAGGCTCTTATTTTTTATATTGTAGCTTGTCAAACTCTAATAAGCATGTTTTTAATTCAGGATGCAGAAGAATTCTTGATGAAGATGGCAACATGCAAATAAATTCAAACTGTGAGTGTTCCTTGAATACTATTTAGATATTTCAATTTCCACACAGATAAAATAAACAATGAGTAAGCTGGATACAAACCTAAACTTGTATGTTGAATAAGGGTCTCATTTGCTAGTGTATGTCCCCCTGGGATTGGCTCATTCATTTACTACAATGCTCAGGTTCTTCATTCTGTAGCTGGTGCAGAATCTCTCCCATTCAAGGGCAGCTTTTGTTTCAGCACTTAGATGCTGTGCACAGAGGGGCTGCTTTTCTGTTTGCCATGACAGGCTGCTTGAAGGAACAGGGTGAATGACTGTATATGTGTTACAGAAAATGTTCTAATTCTCTGTTTCTAATTGTCTGTTTGTTTGATTCAAAGACAGGGTCTTACTATATGGCCCAGGCACATGAACTTGGAGCAACCCTCCTGTGTCATTTTGTGAAGTATTGGATGATAAGCGTGTACCATGACACCCTGCTTCCTGCTTTCATCTCATTCACCAGAAGCAGAACTGCTGGGTCACTGGTTAAGTTCTGTCTTAAACATTATTTACTTAGTTTCTCCATGTAAGAGTATGGTGTGCATGCCGGTTCAGGATGGAGAGAACATTTGGGAGTCAGTTAGCTCCCAGCTGTTAGATTATGGGACTTGGTGGTAAAAGCCATGTCACTGGCCCAGTAAAACTGTATTTTTAAGACACCATTTTGTACAGTGCCAATGATGTTACTATAGTAACAATGCACAAGAATTCCAGTTTCTCTACACACTCACTGGAACCTGGTAGTTTTTGGATATGTGATAGCACCTTCTAGTTTTATGTGTAATGTATTTTATGGTATATGTTATGATGCATTTATTCCCATTGTCTATACAACATAG